GGGTTCGATCGAACCCAGGTTAAGAACCACTGCTTTAGGTAGAAGCATGCACAGACAGAGTTTATGCAGGTTGCATCAACTCAAAGGTAAGACTTTTAAAGACCCATTTAAGACCATTATCAATAAAATTTACAAGTAATATCACAACAGTGATGTACAAAAGACATGCAGGGGATCAAAACTGTAACACTTCTGGGCTTTTGGCAGCAGCTTTGAGCTTCTCACATGGCAAACGGCCTTGTTGCTAGTTAGCTAGCTAGCTAGCAAGTAGCTTGTTTACATTAGCCTCAACTACCTTGAGTCACAGACCAGCTTGAGTGAAGATGTCTGCGCATGACTCAAACTAGCTAGAGAGCTATATCCTAGCCTCTAAAGAGCTAAATGATAGCTACTAGTGGCTTGTTTGTTTGCTAGCCAGCTAACAAGTATTAGCAGCTTGCTAGCAGTAGCCCTAACATCTTTCCACCCTGGACATGAGAGTGAAGCTGTCTGCGCACGACTCAAACTAGAGACCAATATGCTTGCTGCTAATGAGCCAAATGTTAGCCATTAGTGGTTTGCTTGCTAACCAGCTAGAAAATATTAGCAGCTTATTATCAGTACACTTAACCGAGTCACAAAAGTCACAAAAGGAAGTGAGTGAAGATGCCTGCACACGTCTCAAACTTTTTCCTGACAAAAATCCTAGGATATGAGATGAAATAGTCCTGCAACAATTATGAACTGTGAATAATTTATGTAGGGGTAACTTGCACTTTTGCACTGTATATAGCTGAGTCTAATTCATTTTATACTTAAGGGCTAAGTTCCAGTAATGTCATTGACAATGAATTTCTCCAACAATAGAAATACATTCAATAAAGCTACAGTTGCGCTGTTGCTTTCTACATCACCGAAAGGGCATGAAAAACATCCAGAGGTGAAAACATTTCCTCATCTCCAGACTGGAAACAACACCGGAAACTTTAACAGTGTGTTCCTGTTGTTCCAGTTCTGTCGAGCAGCTAACTTTAAATCACCGTACAAATAAAACAGTGGACTGAAACCATTCCCTTCTCAATCAGATTCATTCTTTTAAGGTGATATGAGGAAGAAAATTACTGCAGTTTCTTTTTAAGAAGAAGAAACGGACTGTCACTAAAAGATGTGACCGGAAGACAACTGCAAAAACAAAAAAACATCTTTGGAGAAGAATCCAATAGAGGAAGCTGATCTCAGGAGTAGACGGCCCTTTATGAACCTGGTCTGTGGGTTACTCACAGTCGGGCCGGTGGTGGCTCCTTTCTTCCGCTCAGGGATGTCAGCCTTGTTGGGGTTGTTGGCGTTGCCCAGCAGGGGGCTGGAAGGCGGACCGCCTCGGCCGCCGGGGGTGCTGGGTTTCCGGAGAGGAGCTCCACTTTCGTCCTTCGCACTGTTGTCCGCTGTGGTGGTCTGGCTTCTCTTTGGATGAGCCATCCCTGGAGGAACGTTCTGACCGACTAACGAACAGCAACAATATCATTTTAAATGGTTTCATCCAAGCCATCTTGAACAACTATTTAAACGCATTAACCATCACATCTCTAGGTTGCAATCAGTGGTGAAACGGTAAATCTGCCCCAATTTCCTTAACTTTGCATAAGACAGACTATAGCAGTGATAAAGTGAACGACCTGCAGGCTGCTCACCTTGCTCACTGTAACGCCTCTGTTTGTGGTTGGAGGAGACGCTCCTATGCACTTTGAGATGGGATGGCGACTGGCCGTTGAGCTCACTGTTAGGTCTGGGTTTGGCCAGAGACAGATTGCTGCTGGAGGCAGAGTCGCTGGGCTCCAGCTGACATGGAAATATACATAAGTCAAAACACGCAGGACAGAAAATATTTTTGTCAACAAGAGAAACGGAGCGGTGTGTGTCTGTACCTCAGAGGCTTTCCTGCCCAACAACAAGTAGGTGGCTGTGATCTCATCATACTTCATCTTGGCCAGGGAGTCCTGGATCTCCTCCAGGTTATAGCCCATACCCACCATCACATCTGGATGAACAACATCAAGGAGCTCATTAAAGCTGAACACGTGCACCCAGAGGACAAAAAGCTTAAAGACGTTTTAAAAAATACCCACGTCTTCAGCTAAAGTGAACCATTGGAAATTAATAAATAATCAAACTTGTATTTGATGTACTTGTTGGCTTGGGCCAGAAATGAGGAGATGACTCATGCTGGTTGAATTAGCATAAAAGCATGCATGTTTTCCTAATATTTTAAAGAACATTAGTAACTATACACTGCTTTAAATAAAATTATAACAGCATGAACGGAAAGAACACAGGAAACACAAAGGGTGTTTTCACACCCAGCAGTCCTGTAGACTCGGTTTGATTAGGGACCAAAGTTGTAGCATTTGTTCCATTTTCAGCTGCTACAGTTCTCCTTCACTGCCCTGTCAAACCAACCAACCTGTCCTCCCCCTCACCTGTGGTGGCGCTCCACCAAGAACCACTGAAGGAAACAACAAGAAAACCCCTGAAGTAGACATTGAGAGCCACTTCAACTTAGTTCCCATCTGATCTGAACACCTTCTGGCACATGTTTGTTGTGTCCAATAAATGCTTTCTGGCAAACATGAAGCATTAAAATGTGTTGAATTTTGTAGTTGTATTGTAAAAGAAAATGGAAAACTTCTTAGGGAAGAGTAGCTGATGTGTTCAGACATCCTGCCGATGTCCACCCGGTCAGAGCAGGCTGCTCGCGTTCAGCAGTGTTAAATAGCAGAGTATTTAACATCTAATACTCTGCTATTAGATGTTAAAAGTGCAGGTGAACTCCACCTTGAGAAAAACTGGAGTTTCTCTCAGCAATGTCCAACTTCCTGTGCATCAGAGAGAAGAACAAACAAACAAGCTGTGCTTCTCTGGCCGGGCAGAACTGGATCCGTCATCTTCCTCAGCCTGATCTCATCTTTCTCACTTTCATCCTGCAGCTCCTCTAACACTTCAGCTTCTTTCTCAGCTTCACAGTTCAGCTCTGCCGTAGAACTGCGACTTGCTGACTTCCAAAAGAAAAGATGCTTGTGAAAACTATTCAACAAATTTGGTATGACTAAAGAATGAACATGATTTTTAAAGAGTAGAATAAGAGAATAAGTCAGTCAGCAGACGCTGTACTTTTATGCTAAAGTGGGAAACGAGCGAAGGCTTAGGGTGGTTCACGTAAATGCCTCTGGTTGCTTGGCGTAGATTTGAACAGAAACAAGTGTTCTTTTCCAATGTTGAATGGCCAGTTCAAAAAAATAATTATTTCAGCCTCTGGTACAGATTTTCTTGTTCTCATTTTTTTAAGTGAAATACTAATTTAGACAGCAAAACTGGACCAACAGTGATCACCTTGGTGCAGAGAATGACACTTTTGCAAGAGGAACAGTTGCACAGTTGTTAGATAATTGTAGCACTTTTTATGAATATATTGGAGGTTTTTCATAAACTCCAATATATTCATAAATAACAGAAATATTTACAGACAGGTAATTTGAGTGAGGAGTGACGGAAGCCTTCCATCCAACACTAAACAGAGGAAACGGCCTCAGATTTCATCTTTCTAACACCTGCTCTGCAGCCTTGACTCGTCTCCTCAATCGTTTTTCAGCAGTGGATAAATGTGATCAAAACAACTCGCATGGCATCTTTTGGGACTTGTTTGGATCATCAAACTCCAACGGCCCAAATATTGATGAACAGTTCCTTAAGCCTCCCAATTGCCCCACAACTGACTCCTGCAGCCCTCTGACCTCAGGGTCCAAGTCAAGGCCTTATTGTTAAATATATTTTTATTCTAGAGGGTCATTGTGAAATGTATAATCACAATTGTGATCTTAGTATTACCAAAGAATAAAGCTGACATTTTGCTAAACTTGTCACCCCTACCTAAAATGGAGGATATTTCCACCTGTAAAAGTTGGATTTATGACCAGGATTCAGACATTCCTTAAATCTCAGCTTTCTTCTCTAAGTGATGGCGAGTTCACACCGACATGTTCACATACAGCCAACCTCAGCTGCTGTTATGCAACAGCTCCCCCTTCTATTTCCAGCTCGTGTAATGGGGAAGGCTTCTGCCGTTCTGCGCATGCAGCCGCACGGCTCTTGTTCATTTATTCATCGTCACGTTTCCTCCTTCCTGAGCTCCTCGGCTCCGACATAATGACTCTGCTCTGGCATTGCGGAGCCATAACTGTTCCAACATTTAGCACATTCAAAATTCACACATCTTCACGTTGGACCGGAAACAAGAGCCAATGAGCTGAGCAGTTCTGAGGACAGCCGTCGTCGTTGGTTACCTATTCTCTTCTGATCCGTGATGTCCAGTTCTGGTTCAGTGTAAGGCTTCAGCTCATCCTCCTCGAATCCCGAATTGATCCATCGATCCTTCATGATTTGCTAAAAAGAAAGCAAAATGACAATTTAAGCCTCATTCATACCATATTTATGAAATCAACATTTGTTTTTGTCTGATTTTGTTCTTTATACACACAGGTAAACAGTTGTAAAGTGTTGCTGGAATTACAGATTGCATGTGAACCGATCACATTTAGATTAGATCAGTTAACATTCGTACTGAAGTCAGCTGCATCCCGTCTGGAGGAAGTGTTGCTTTTAATTTGCAGCAGATCAATGGCTGTGTGGGGTTTTGATGAGGGCCTGTCCAAACTAATTACCACAGCTCTGATGTAACTGTCACAGTTTCAGGTCAACAGTGTCACATCTACAGCAGACCAACCAGCATCGCATGCTTCTGTTAAACTGATTTTTATTTTTTAACAAATCAGTGAAGACATGAGCTTGTTTATGAGGTTTTTTTATTTTACATTTTACACCAAAAACATAGGTTTATGGTCATATATCACATCATTTTACTTTCAGAATGGATTATAATCCATTATGCATTCTTTTACACTGTTCTGTGTGTAAAACAGTGTAAAAAGAAATTTCTGTATTTCAAAAGTCAAACATTTCAGAGATTCATCTCAAAATTTCAGTTTTTTGGTGGAAATTTACTCTTTTTTCTGTCTATAATGACTCTAATATGCTGTTGTAGTTTTGGTATGCTGCTCCCTCAAAACCCACAAAAGATGTGCTACAAATAAAACAAAATTAGTATTTTAGCTTCTTTCTTTAGAAGTTAGCAAGAAAAATGTCTTACCCCATATTTCAAAACTATCTGTAGTTTCTTTTGACAGATGATCAGGCTGAAGGACTGCCTGGGGTAACTCTGCTGCCTTTCAGGTATTGTGCAACAACAATATCTAAAAACTAAATTTTATCCAGATCAAGAATGAAAGCTCCATATTTTGCAATTATTAGCAAACAAAATTCACCTGTTTGCAAATGGTGACTTTTTTCATACAGGATATCTAAAATATTCATTTTATAAAAAGATGCATTCTGGGTAGCTGATGTACCTCGGTGCAATGCTACTTGGAGTTTGCAAAACAGCCAATCTTGGAGCGCCATTTACCTTCCATGGCGCTGATTGGTTGAACCCTCAAGTGTATAGATAAAGAAGGCCAAGGTTCGCTTCTGCGAAAACGTTTTCCACCGTGTGTAATAATGCACATGGAGGTATGTTTGGTATCTGAACTAACAGCTGATTGTAAATAAAACCAAATAATTTAACAATTGTTGGTACTTGCTTTACAGAATACATCTATTCTTTCATCAGTTCCATATGAACTGCACTAAAATTTGGTGAAAAAACCAACAACAACAAAAACACCAAGAGAAAAACAGCTCAAATGTATTATTCATAGTTACAACATCAAAAAGGAGGAGGAGGAGGAAGAGGAGTGTGGGCCAGATACACACGGAAAACAGGACACTGTGGGCGTTAGAGATGATGCATGGGCAGAGGGGGGAGTGAGGAGGGGGTCATTCTCCAACGTGCTGCAGGGAGGGGATTAAGAACCAAGTAGCATATTTACATTTTCGGTGTCCTCCCTCACCTCGAGAGTACCACGCTTGGCCGGGTTCAGGACCAGGAAGCGTTTCAGGAGGTTCTCGCAGTCCGTGGACATGTAGAAAGGAATGCGGTACTTTCCTCTCAGAACACGCTCGCGCAACTCCTGCAGAGAATAAAGGGAGGATGTTAAAAAAAAAGAAAGAAAAGAACGCTGATCTTAAAGTCATTATGCAAGACATTAGAAGAAAAAACACTCGTATTTTGCACCCAGACCAGAATGGATGTATTAAAAATAGATATGCTATATATAAAACCAGCAGACTCAGCTAATCAGTCCCTCCAGGATTTATTGCATTCAAAATTTAGAAATTTAGAAGTTTTCCAAATTTCTTTCATTAAAGCTCCAGTATGTTAAAATGTTTTTACATTTGTTAAAATTATGTTGTGACAGAACAGCATGAGACAGAAAATATGTGAACAAACAAAAAAAAAAAAAAAACAGCTCCTCTGCCTTCACCAACACCAATTACTATGCACTGCTCAGCCCCAAACGACCAATCGGAGCCAAGAGGAAGGGCTTAGTGCTGTCAATTACTTTCATGCTTACCTCCCTTCTTGTTCTCTGCTACCAGTTGATACACCACAACTTAGCCTGCCACAAATACTAAGACCAGTTAGCATTTGTGGCAAAACTGTTTTTTTTTTTGTTTTTTTTGGGAACAGTAAATTGTTTCTCCCCCATTAGCACATATAGCAGGATGTAAATGAGGATGATTGACAGCACTAAGACCCTCCTCGCGGTTCTGATTGGTTGCATTTCTTCAAATCGCAATTCTAGCTGAAGGAGGAGCAGCCGGAGCTTGACGTTTTCACACATCATCTTTCTCATACCAAACTATCACTGTATATGTTACATACTCCAACATTACAAACTCTACAGATAGAAGATAAAAATAATGGCAAAGAAAACAAGCAGAAAGATTGGACTCATGGACATTTTTGTTCAAATAACTTCAATAGCTCAGTATTTGTTACGCTAAATGTAGATCACAGACTATAACTCTTCTTTGAGTAAGGTTGCAGCACAGAGTAGTGGAAGTAAGAAATACTGCCAACTGCAGGAGGGAGTTTGACAATTTTTTGCAGAAAATTTGCAATAAACTCACAATTATGCATCAAATGAATAAAAAAATATGATTTTGCATGAATTTTTGCCATTGCGTAAAACTGGAGAGACTGTCTAATAGACTACCACAACATCCAAAATAAAACCGGTTTAATCGTTTTGCTGGATGTCGGAAAGGCATCAGACATCAGAAAGATATCGGAAAGGCGAATGCCATCTAGCAAAACGATTAAACTGAGTGGGTGAATTGGAAATTTCGGTAACACTTTATTTGAAGGGGGGTGAATAAGACTGTCATGACACTGTCATAAACATGACATAACA